TAAGTGCTATTGCTATATGAACTCCCAAAACTAGATTAAGCAAATCATGGTTCAATATATGAAAGTAATGAGAACTCAGTGACAAAATGCCTTACTTGTTTATCAGTCAGTGCAAAGCGTGAATCTAGTCATTGCAATTTCCAAACCATGGTTCGTGTCTTAGTATGAGACAGGATGTACAATGGGTGTTGTATGTCTGGTTTCCTAAATTTGTAATGACCTAACAGGACTTTACATATGGTATATTGTCTAAAACTATTCATTGGCATAGGGATCTATTTTTTATCTGCCCGGAGGCTGTAGGTATCATATTATACAGTGGACATTTTTCTTGAGTATCCATCATTTTTCTATTCACTTCAACTGGAAACTTTACATTTTAGTTTGTCCTGAAATACTATTTGAAATTCACCAAGTACGAAGCAAAGCCAGGGACCACCCGTGACAGGTAGCGCATTTTCACTTGGCCCAGGACCAAAATCAGAGGAAAATGCAGAAAAACTGTCAGTTTCTCTTTGGGCCTTTTGTGTGTTGCTGGCAAGCTAACTTTTTGAGATTAAAATACAAAAGACTGGGGACTTGAATGCAGTTGAGATGCAAAATATTGGCAGAATATTGAAATATAAAATAATATAGAATAATCTTAATAGAGGTCTTTTGCCTCTTTAGCCATATCAGTTGCCAAACTTTCATGTGGCATATTGTGTATCAGATTTTCCAACCTTTCAGGCTTTGTGGACTGGCAAGGGGACGGGGGGGGGAGAGGAGATGGTTCTGCAGGAGTGGCCAGCAAGCACGCATGCACAGCTCCATTTGCATGAGCAGCAGACACGCGCCCACCACTCATACAAATGGAGTGTGTGGACATGCACTCGTGCAAGTGGAGATGAATGCACATGCTTGCCCTCCACTTCTGTGGCCCTAATCTAAATGGCTCACGGCCCAGTAGTGAGCCACGGTAGAGGGTTGTGGAGCCCTATTGTATATCATAATTAAGCCTAAACATTATTCCTGATTGATGTGTTTTTAAGGATCTGTAACAGTGGTGGATTGCTGGTTCACCCCGGATCGAGTGAAATGGTAGCGGCTGTGAAAGGCTCTGCCCACCCGCCAGGATGTCTCTGCGCAGAAATTTCTGTGCATGCGCAGAAGTGTTGTGCTTGAGCGAGCGAGCGTCCACGAGCAAACCGGTAGCGACAGGATTTGAAACCCACTACTGATCTGTAACCGAAGAGCATTGAAACTATAATTCTCCAATATTTGCAATATGCTTTAGAAGTACACATGCGCATAATACTTCCCCTTGATTTGTGTGCTGCCATAAACTTTCATACACCATTATGTGCAAGCAGTCTTTTCCAATCTGACACCTTGGGTTGTAATGGAATGCAACTGCCATCATATGGTTCATGTTCTAGCTAGACTGACGCTTCAGTTAGTAACAGAATATACACAGTTTTCATATAACCTTATTTGTTATTTTCTTTCTTGTTCCCCAACCATATGTTAGCACCTCAAAGTACACCAGATTAGAAAACAGACACCATATGAACTACAAGAACTCTACTTTGTTGTTATAGGGTGTTTAGCAGAATCTTGAAACTGACAGATGTTCTGTCTTTCTCATCTTACACTAAAGAAAATTAAGGTGGAGCAATCTTGACTTTTCCTCAGCCTCTTTTGAATATCAAGGCTAAATTAATGTTTACATGGCATAGGCCCTGGTTACTTGTGGATCGCCTATCTCCCATAACATCTCCCCAGCTGATTCAATTCTGCAAGTTTGCACATTTCTTCAATTGAACAATACCATCTATTGGGATCCAGAAATGCACCTTCTTGTAGAATTGCCTGCCTTCTAGAACAAAGTTCCCCCAAAGATCCAGATGACCCCCACTCTATTATTGCTTAGAAGAGTTGGCTCTTCACCCAACCCTTTAGCAAGGAAGAGTGCGACATTCACTTCATCATGCTTGCTATCTTTTATCTTTATCTTTTTGTAGTTTGATTTTTTGGGTGATTTGTTTGATTGATATTAGCTGCCCAGAATGGCTCACAAATGGTCAGCATTTGGCATTTTTGTTCAGCTATCGAGTCCTTCCCAAGAACCCGGGTTAAGCAGGTATTTTTCTTTCATGGAGTTAAAGGTATTGCCAGAGGATGTAAGCTGTTCCAAGTAAAGCTGCCTTTTACAATTAACAGATGGTGATTGTATCAATTTCAATGATGTGAAATGATGCTCCAGATCTCCAATCTTTTGGCATTTCATCCAAGGTGCCTATCACTATTGGTACTATATTATTATTATAAACTTTTATTCATTAAAGATGAAACTCAAGTCAACTGAATATTTAAAAATGTATCACAAATATTATTGAGTGGCGCTGAGTTGATACAGGTTGCTGCCAGCATTCTAGGTATCAACCAAGTACCTTCTTAAGATCTACATTGTTCCAAGTAGCGCGGTTTTTTGCAGTTCCATTGGTGTTATTGCAGGAAGCTGCAATTTATTGATGTATTTTGTAAAATTCTTGGACATGGAACCAAGTGCCCCGATGACAATGGGTATCACTGTTACATGTTTCATCCATAATCACGTAGTTTCGATGGCCAGGTCACAATATTTCGTGATTTTTTCCAGTTCTTTTTCTTCAACTCTGGCGTCTCCCGGTATAGTGATATCAATAAATTGTACGCTTCGGTTTTTGACAACTGCAATATCTGGTGTGTTGTGTTCCAAATGACGATCTGTCTGTATTTGAAAGTCCCATAAAGATCTTCAACTTCTCATTTTTGACAACTTTTTCCACTTTGTTCCCATGACTTTTTGGTAAGTCATATTTTTTACATAATGACCAGTGGATTAATTTAGCAAATGGTCATGTCTAGCTTTGTAATCTCATGTCTAGCTTCGTAATCATTATCATCAACATTATTAATATTATTATTTCATTTAATTTTCAATTTAATTCAGTCTGGGACTCATAAAAACTTAACAGTGCAAGTCCTAACCAAGAATCTAAGAGCTGTTAAGGTAACATCTGAGAATTATTATTAATTATTGTTGTTGTTGTTGTTATTGTTATTATTGATTTAATGGCCATTATATTCTATCTTCAGGGCCATCTCTGCATTCCTCTATAATAATTGTCTTAAAGATAAATCTTATTTTGATTTTCAACTCTTGGAAACTTTCTATACAGTAAAATTTCTGAGTGCTAAATACCGTATTTTTCAGAGTATAAGATGCACCTTAGTTTTTGGGGAGGAAAATAGAGGGAAAAAATTCTGCCTACCAAATATTCATCTGGCTAGCATCCTTAGTCTGGTCAGCTTCAGCACATTAGTTTGCTGGTTTTGAGCATTGGGGAATAAAAAACAGCTTCTAAAGCACAGCTGATCTTCGGAGAGAGAAGCAATGAGAAAAGCAGGCTATGCTCGAAAGATGCTTCACTCGTTAGCACCTCGTTAGGGCTGGAAAAAAGCTTTGAAAAAGCTACATTTCGAGTATAAGATGCACCCAAATTTTCAGCCTCTTTTAGGGGGGAAAAAGTGAATCTTATACTCTGAAAAATACGGTAGACCTTCTTGGCTAGCCTATTTCCTCCTTGTTTCTTATTGGGATGGGAACATTTATGTGGTGTATTACAACCTCCAGCATGTCCTACCATGGGATACTGGGATGTCAATATTCCTTGTTTTAATGCCCAATTAACTCAGGATATTTGACTAAATCATGCACTGTGGGTTAAAACATCAGTATACAATGATAAGTATTTCTCAAATGAATGCTTTCTCAGGATTTTGCCTATTAAATAAAATAAAATACATTTAAAGTGGATGTAGATAACAATACAAAACAAAGCATGTGTATATGCATGATGTAATATGACACACTAATTTCTTTAAATACAAATACACATGCAAGAGCATGATTTAAAAGTGGTTGCTAAACAGGGCAAGATGCTGCCTTCTAAAAATGTTCTGCCCATCACAAACAGCAAAGAAAAAACCCCAGATAAACCAGCCAATTATATGGTACTGCGTGCAAAATGATACTGTATAAATAGGCATTCAGGACATAAAAATAATCAATCATGGCTGTGGCCATACTCCTGTTTTATGAATAAACCCATCGGGAATCTAAATATTTATTTTGCTACAGTGTATGTTACAAATTATATTCATAATGACAATTTATTACATGGTGACAAAGGGCCATGAAATGTTTTTCTGCCTCTTACAGTTACCTTTTATCAGTTTGTAGCATTTTTTGGATTTAACTGGGTATTGCCCATTCTGTCCACCATTTTCCATTTTCTTCAGACTACATTGAAGAAAGAAATATTTTTAAAATCACTTTTAATCACCTCCCTCCCCCCAGCTGATGTATAGCTAGAAGAGGAACCAAATCTTTGCCAAGATATTAATGGTGCAAGCTAATACCTTTTTTATTGTGCCCATAATGGTTTTTTTAAACAAATCAATTACAGGATTATCTCTCTAACTGCCTACCATGGAGTAACATCCATTTTAATATTTCTTCTTCTCCTTATCTGTTTTAATCTGGCAGAGGGTACTGGAAATAGTATCTTCTGTCATCAAAGAAACCCTTCTTTGAATAACTATTCCAAAATATTTAAATTAATCAACATAGGCACCAAATTGCTATCCTTTGGATATAGGATTTGACATATCCCAAACTTTCATTTGGGATACACCCTTATTCCTTATTGACTGATACATATTTGGGAACTTGGCATGATGCCAATAGGCTTGACAGACTTTGATTACCAAAGTGATGATCCATTAGTGATGTCAACGGAATTCACAGAGGAAAAGGGACTGGAAATATGGATAATAAATACAGCATCTTTGGCCTTGAATTACTTTCCTTCTGGGGTTATGAGGCATGTTTTTTCTCTCATGCTGCAAGATCAAACCATTAGTTAAAGCATAAATAAATGAGGGTTGTGAATATAACTACTGTGTACGATTACTTCAAGAATACCAATTTTTATTTTGTGAAGTCGCTTTTGCTAAAAATCACATTACTATTGATAATAATGAATAATAGAAGGAGCCATAGTGGTAGTGGTTAGAATGCAGCATTGCAGGCTAACTCTGCCCACAGCCAGGAGTTCGATTCTGACCAATTTTTATGTTGTTTAATGATCACATTTGTATTGCTTTTCTCTTTCCATTCACTGCAATGTGGTCTGTGTGGAATGTAAAATCTGGTTTGCTTGAAAAATTGTGCCTGGCAAAGGTTACCCACCAACTTCATTAATCAAAGTACCATTCCTTCCCACTAAGCTGTATCCCACTAAGCTTCCCAATTCATGAAGAGGGTTAATGCTTCTTAGACAGCTCTGATCAGAATCACTTTTTCATATGGGTGGAGGGGTCATCACCAAGAAGGAATGACAACCTTTTCCATCCTAACACCTTTCTGAAATGGTGGGGTTTGGAGTGCCATAATGGCCGGCCAGCCTGGCTATTTGCAAGAATCCCACTTGGTTTTCAGGATACCAACTGTGTTGAAGCTGCTTGCATATGGGAATAGAAAGCTGCTTGCATATGGGAATAGAAAGCTGCTTGCATATGGGAATGGAAGTTACCTTTAAAAATATTATTAATAGAACCTACAGGTCTGGCTTGAGGAATTTATCTTTCTATTATCCTTAGGCTGATTGAGCCTACAGAGAGGCAGTTCCAAAGAGTGCAGTAGTTTGCACCAGTGCTCTGGTGAAAAAGAACAAAATTGTATAGATGAACTTCAAACCACAAACAGGCCAGACTCAATTTTAGATAAGAAGCAGGGTGGCAACTTGTCTAGTTCCTGTACCCCAAGCACTGGCTTTTCAGATGCTAATATTTGCCTCCCCATCATCCCATACAGCAGGCAACCAAAGTGTATTGGTAACAGTGGCTTGAGTAGATTAGGAAGGCTTGACTAGATTAAGAAGATAGAAAACATGTGAAGAGAGGAGACTGTAAACTAATCCAGGCATATTCCTGACAGCAAATTGCTTGTAACCCATCATTAGCACTCTGGCTGAAATTTAGTGAATTATAGAATTCGGTTACTGTTGTAATTGAAATAGTTGGTTAAGTATGACTTCACAGTGGATCTTAAAAACAGAAGTATCCTTTTCATGTGAAAAACTGCCTTCAAACATGATTTCAGTCTACAGTTTTTACTTACTCAAATCAAATGCCTTTTCGAGAGAAGTATTGAAAAACATCAATACCTATTTTAAAAGAAGTCAGAAATAATAACACCTTTAAGGAATCATGGTGGGTGAACATCATTTGCGTATGAAATATTTCAGGTCTCAGAACTTCAGCAGTGTTACACAACTCCTTTCTCAAGGCCCTCTAGCCAGATGGGTGTTATGAAAAAGTAGTCTAACTGGTTTCAACACATCTTTTCAAGACTGATAAGCAGGAGTTCGTTGAAGTAGTTCTGAAAAACAAAGAGGCAAAATAATCCTTCCTTCCACTTGCTGTTTATGAAATTCAGATTCAAAAGAATGACACATCTGTTTAAGCTTTAGAACAATGATCTGCCCGTTTCTAATGTGAACAGAAACTCTTTTACTGTACATGATTCACATGCTATTATCTGGACCACTGTCACATCCTTCTAGTGTCTGCCTTCAAACCTGTTGTGCAGGTGCCAGGTATGATCTCTATCTATATCTTGAAGCATCTCAGAGTCTGTCTTGGAATCTGAAGCAGGCAGACAGAGTCAATCCTTCTGAGATACAAACAGGCTGCCTCTGCCTGCCTGCCTGTCAGATACCAAAATTTATTTGATTTTTTTTTTGTTTGAGGCAAAGTGGCAGAAGAAAACCATAATGAGAATATACTCAAATATGCAAGTGGATTTCAAATATAAGCTGCTCTCTTCAGCATTCATGGCTGCAAATAAGAACCAAAAAATTGTCAGTATTACTTTTGAATAAATATGCACAAGAATAGGACGAGAAAGCCACTACTTTTCAAAAAGAACATTTCTGCCCATCTACAGTTTTATAAGCCAATTGGTTGTTGGAAGAATGTTCTGTGGACAGATATAAAAGAGTATAAACTACTATAAAAATTCTCTCTGATGGGCACACCTGAGCCCTGGTGAGACTATAATGAATGCTAAACACAAGCTAGAAGCCATTGTCCAGCTGCTAACAAGTTTTTTTTTTAACGTTTAAGGCCCTAAATGGAGAGTTGTCCAGTTGGCCCAACTCTGAAGCTTATGTACATGGTGCAGAAAACAGTATTTCTTTCAAGGCAAACTATTTACCCATCAAGAACAGAAAAGATCAAGGGAGGGGGGAATTAAAAACTGCAAGGAATGTTCACATGTTGAGGTTTACGGCCTTCTGAACAGAACGTTGCCGTTTCCATCTTGCTTAAGGCCTGTTGCAGATTTCCTCTCCTCAGTTTAGAAAAACTCAACTAAGGACATTGATTGCATCCAAAAAATTGGTCATCCCCCCCTCCCCCAAAGTCACAAGGAAACACATCCCTCAGTATCCCTTAGTAACCATCAGGGAGCCTGGTTGGTGGGAAACAGCAGCAGCATAAGGCCTGCTTTCCATCCGGAAGGCAGTGCCGCCGCCTGTCTCTAAAACCAAGTGGGGAGGTGGGTAGAGTCTAGTTACATTCCTGACCCACTTTCGTGTTCCCTTCTTTTCCCTCCTCCTCTCTCAGGGAGAAACCAGTCCAAGCTGTAGGAGCATCCTTTCTGATTAGGAGATCCAAGGTGGTGTGTGTACATAAGCCGTCTGCTTCTCAGCTGTGGAAATGCCTCTTAGCGGTTCCTTCTCCAGCTACAATTCATTTCAGAACATGCTGCATAATGAGGACAAATTATACAAACAAATGTGAAGTGTCAGGCAGTATAGATCATATGACAGTGTAGTGTACAATGGTGTAGATACAATAGTGTAGATCTTATGCACAAATAAAAATCACTTGCACCCCACAGAAGATGGGGGAGATGGAAACACAGGATAGAGGTTCTGTACAACCACAATTGAGGCCAAAATTTCGGTTGTTAAACAAGACAGATGTTCAGAGAGCTGTGCTCCACTTTACAATCTTTTTTTTTCTTTTTTTTTGCCAGTTAGGGAAATCATTGCAGTTGTTAAGTGAATCATGCAGTTAAACAAATCTGGCTTCCCACATTGACTTTACTCGTCAGATCACATGACCCCGGGGCAGTACAACTGTCATACATACATGCCTGTTGCCAAGGGTCCAAATTTTGATCATGTTGACCATGGGAATGCTACAACAATCGTAAGTGTTGTAAGTGTTGTAATTGTAAGTGGAGCCTTGGTAGTACGGTGGTCTAAAGCACCCTGTTATTAAGACCAGGTGCCTGCAATTACTGCAGGTTCGAATCTCGCCAGGCTCAAGGTTGACTCAGCCTTCCATCCTTTCTAAGGTAGGTAAATTGAGGACCCAGTTTGTGGGGGCAATAACCTGACTTTGTATAAATATACAAAAGGATGAAGGCTATTGCTTAGCACATTGTAAGCCGCCCTGAGTCTCCGGAGAAGGGCGGCATATAAATCAATTTTTTAAAAAAAGTGTGAAAAAGGTCATAAGGCACTTTTTTTCAGTGTCATTTGTAACTTTGAACAGACAAAAAGCAAATTATTGTTAAGTCAGGGACTACCTTATGCTTTTTTTCCCAAGTCAAGTGATGGTGTTTTTACATAAATGTCCACCATAATATAGTACATACCTTGGATCCTCTACCCTGGATGATCTTTCCAGCTCAAAAGTCCCAAATATTTTTAAAATGTCTATACTTCTCTGTACACTGTTGTAAGACAGCTGGTGGACACACAGAAATCTGTGTAAAATAAGAGACAAGAGGATTCCAGTTCTTCACCATCACATACAGATCAAGACATTTGCATCTTTATTCTAGAGTAGCAGTAGGTAACCTGCAGCTCTGGAGCCAGATACTTTTTTTTATAAAATGCCACCAGCATGCTGAAATTAAAATATCATCCTGGTTGAGGCGGGTGATTTCCTATAAGGAAAAGCCTTCTGCAAAAAGAAAAGCAAAACTGTTGCAACGACGTTCCTTTATTTTGAAACCGAAAGATGCCTGGAAGTCTCGTCCTTTTAGGCTATAAAACGTGACCGCCCGTCTAACCAGTATGGATACGACTTCATGATGCCCCGAGAAATGTGTTTAGCATTGGCACGGAAGAACTCTTTTAAAATCATTATAGAATTTATAATGCCCCAGCGCTTGAATTCAGGCTCAAATCCGGCAAACACGTTATCAAAAAAAAAAAAAAAAAGTGAGGCAGAGTTTGCAAACAAATGGGGCTTATTTTATTATCTGGCAGGGTTCCTGAGCCACCAGCAGTTGTATGAGAGAAGTTTTAACAGCTGAAGATTTCCCAACATGGAAATCCACTAATTAGAGTAGGGAGGCGAACAGCAGCAGCCGTTTAATTTCTGCCTGTCATGCAGCTGTTTAGAAGACCCAACAACCCGAGGAGGCGGGCTTTTTCCTGGGGGGGGGCGTTCGGGGGGGGGGAGCCCGAGCTAGCGGTTTTGCTGTTTGCACAACCGCGAGCGTTTCTGCAATCCTGCAACCGCTTGCAAAAAGTAAAACTGTGGCACTTTCCATTGGAAGCGATGGGGAGAGCCCCCTTCTCAAAATTACCCCGGACGCAGCGAGGCTGCTGAACCCCTTCCATTGAGAGACTTTCCCTCAGGAGTTTAGCGCTCCCGCGCTTCTCAAAAAGCAATTCCCGCGCATCTCGTGCGTGTGAAAAATACGAGCGGAGGTGGGGGGAAAGGGGGTTAGGTTGCAAAGCGCGGCAACCCATAAAACCACATCCTCGGGAGCAAGACAGCCACCCACTCACTCACCCCCGGAAACAGGGAGATCTCCGTCCCGTGGATAGGGCAAGTCTCTCTGAATTCCGAATTAAAAGGAATTTGGAGGCTAAAAGAATATAAAGAACAGTTGCTGGAATTGGGTATGTCTAGTTTAATGAAAAGAAGGACGAGGGGTGACGCGATAGCAGTCTTCCAGTACTTAACCGGCTGTCCCAAAGAAGAAGAGGTCAAGCTAATTCTCCAAAGCCCCTGAAGGCAGGACAAGAAGCAACGCATGGAAACCCTAACAAGGGAAGAACCAACCTAGAACTAAAGGAGAAGTTTCCCGACGGTTAGAACAATTAATCAGTGGAATGACTTGCCTCCAGAAATTGTGAATGCTCCAACACTGGAGGTTTTTTAAGAAGAGATTGGACAACCATTTGTCTGAAATGGTAAATGGTTTCCTGCCTGAACAGCGGGGTTGGACTAGAAGATCTCCAAGGTCCCTTGCAACTGTTGTTCTGTTTATTAAACCCGTCTCAGGAGAGGCTGCAAATGTTAACGTTTAGCAGTCCGGTTTGCAACGCTGGGGCCACCCGGTCCTGCCTTTAATTCCCGCTTCGGGCGTGGGCGGCGTGTACAAGCCAGCCTTCCACCTCCTCCTCTCTTCTCCCCCCCCACCCCCACTTCCAGCCGCGTCTCCTTTCCTCGACTTTTTCTGCCTTCTCCGTTTCCCACCGCCGCCTCGTCGGGGGAGACCATCCGGGAGCGCCGCTTTGCAGAAGAATAACCTTTGCCAAAAGGTTCCGCCGTCCGCAGCTGGATTGAGATTGCGGCGCTCACCAGCTACCCGCGGGAGCCGTTCCCCTCTTGTCCCGCCTCGGGCTGGGCGGCGGCGGCGGCGGTGGCGGTGGTGGCGGCGCTTGAATGACCGGACGCGAACAAGGCGCGCGGCAAAGCTTAAGAGCGGGGAAGGCGGCGCGAGCCGGAGCTGCAGCTGTTTGGCAATCCCGTTTCCTCTTCGGCCTAGCGGCTGCAAGCAAAACCTCCAGCCCTGCAAGGAGGACCGGCACCTCACTATCCTTTGACGAGATAGGGGGAGACGCGCTCCGTTTTCCCTTCAGGAAAAAAGAGACGGACGACGACTCCCGTGTTGCAGCAGCAGCGGAGTTAGGAGGAAAATCCTCGGTTTTTCTGCGGGACACCTGTCCCTCAAGGCGGGTTACATCGGTAGGTGCAGTTTCCCCGGCAAAGGCAACGGATTGAAGGAAAGCGTCCTTTGATTTTTATTTACTTATTTATTTAAACAACGTGTTTTGATTGCCTGGGTGCTAAAAAAGATCGAAAGGTCCTCCTCCGCAGTATGGCAGCTCCGACGAGAAGGATCGCGTGGATGTTGTTGTTTTTTTTAAAACTTCCAACACGTGTGCCGAAAGTGTATGACTTTTAGGAAGAAGACTCGTTAAGGAGAATCCTGCTCTACTTGCACAGAGGAAATAATTAGCCTTTTTAAAAAAAATCAACGAACGCCTTCCATATGTAAAATAGCTTTATTCCCTATCCGGAAACCAGTAATAAATGCTTAAATTTCTTGTTAATATAAAGTATGTGAATTTCGTGTTTTTATGGCGTGGTCTGGGGATGAGATTGTGCCTTATTGCTACCGCGGTTAGTTCTGGTAGCTTGCGTGGTGCTTTTGGCACCGGGGCAGAATCTGGTTTATGGCAGATGGTTTGCAGTGACATCACGATGTGTACAGAGCTGTCTTTTTCCATGAGTTTAGGGGGCCAGACACAAAAAGTCAGGGCTCCTTAAGGTTTTCAGGGTTGAGAATTTCAGCAGATGTTGTTTGCACAATAAGCTACACCTGTTCAAATGTCTTTATTTTTTTTGCACAGAAGTATTGGAGTCTTGTCTTACGGATCTTGGCAGCCCCAGCTGCAGGTTATTGATTGTGAAGGTAGTTTTCACAGTAGTGTCAGCAGAACCTGGTCATTGTTGTGAAACAAGCAGAGTTGCACAAAGCGTTGGAATGCATTTCTTATTCCTTTTCGTTTTGGGCTGCCTTATGTAGTCCCTCAGATTGGCATTACATGGAATTCTTCTGGTAGGAAAAGATCTCATCATTTTTCTGTTTTCTTCTGAAACTTCCCCTTCTTCTGTGCAGGGTGCATATCTTAATTTCATAGCATGCATAACCTCCTTAATCCACCTCCTTTCAAAATATTGTAGTGCTATATCAGGAGCAGGCAACCTGATGCTTTCCAGATGTTTTGGACTTCCAACCCCTTCATGGTCTATAGCAGAGGTTGGGGGGGGTAGTCTAAAAATATCTGGGATATGCTAGGATACCTACAGTAGTTTGCTTCAAGCAAATCAATTTTCTCCCATTGCTTGCACCTCCCCCCCATGCTTTAGTCCTTGACTGAATTGAGAAACTAACACTAATTCAAACACACACACACAGCCTGCAGCCCTAAACATTGAAGGTGCAGGTGGATGATGAGAAAGTGCCATGTGGGCCCATGTCCTCCCAATTTGCTGCATTGAGTAAATTCTCTTGAGTTCCAGAAAGCCCTGCCTGCATTAGGATTCCCAGTCACATGGTGGAAAATGCAGACAGGTCTCATTCAGATCTAGCTGTTCATAGCAGAAAGGAGAACTAGGAGACAGTAACTGCTAATGGGCCTCATGCCACCCTTTTCACTCTTCTGTCTTCAGCTGGGCATCAGTTTAGTTTAGTTTAGTTACCTAAACTCTAGTTTCTTAGATCCTTTCTCAGTTTGGTTTCAGGACTATAATTTTCTCAACTTACAAATACTTATGAAATAGTGAGGGAAACTATCACCAAAAATGTCTTGGGAGTTCCTCGGAGTACAGTGCAGATAGTCTTCGACCACAATTGTGCCCAAAGATCACAAAAGGGGATCACATGTCCCTGGGACACTGCAACCATCATAAATATGAGTCAGTTGCCAGGCATCTCAAATTTTGATCACGTGACAATGGGGATGCTGCAAAGGTCGTGTGAAAAACGATGTTACTTTTTTCAGTGTCATTGTAACTTTGAACAGTTACAACAATTGTAAGTTGAGGACTACCTGTAAGATTCACCATCCTATAGCTAACTCACTTTGTATATTACAACATAGGCTGTCCTCAACTTACAACCATTTTTGTTTAGTGACTTCAAAGTTACAACTGTTAAAAAAAAACTTATGACCATTTTTCACACATCAATTGCAGCATCCCAAAGGTCACGTGATCAAAATTTGGATGCTTAGCAACTGGCATGTATTTATGACCGTTGCAGTGTCCTGGGGCCATGTAATCACCTTTTGCAACCTTCTGACAAGCAAATTCAATGGGGGAGCCAGATTCACTAACAACCGTGTTACTAACTTAACTGCAATGATTCACTTAACACCTGTCTTGTTCAACAGTGGAAATTTTGGGCTCAGTTGACGTCATAAGTCAAGGACTATAACTCTAATGTGAATGTTAGGCTCTATTCTTCAAATCAGCCAAATTTGAGAATGTTCATAGGTGATGGTAGAAATATTATGCTAGGACTATGCCATCATAAAGTATGACCTAGAATTGAGCCAAAGCCAGAATTCCCATCCCCAGGTTCTGACTTGATCCTAAATTTTCCCATAGAAGATGTTTTGTGGCCAGGTCATCACATAAATTTCATATTGTCCTTATAGTTAGTAATATAAGCAGCTATTTTGTTTGGAAACTTTGTATAAAATAGGTAGTACTTGCTTTCTCTTCCAGAATGAAGTTCTCAGCAGGAAAAATGTTTCATAGGCTAAACAATTTATTGGACTTTGACTATACTGTAAGGAAAGGCACGTGACACATAATTCTATCTACTGTATGTAAAAGCTAGATTTATATATTGTGTCATGCTGTAACTTATTTTAACTGAATGTGTTGATGAAGCTACTGTGCATGGTTCACAAACAGTTGCTACCGGTAGGTTTATACAATGTACTGTTCAATAAACACTGTTAGAAACTATGACTACATCAGAGTGACATTGCACATGTGTCATATTATTGCATAAATCAAGACACAACTGACACAGGTTACATTATTGTGACATCCGTGTAATGGAGTCACTCTATATGTGATGTAACCTCTAACCCATTCATGGTAAAAGCGTTAAAACCAAATCAGGCTGGTTGAGCATGATGTATAAACTGATCACTCAGTTGGATACTGAATCACAACTAAGAGTTTACTGGTTTTCCCTCTGATAGCAAAAAGAAATCCTGTGACAATTGTTTCCAAATCTTGAGCAAACAAAAGAAACCTAGATAGCCTGTGTTAGCAAATAACATTATTTTTAAGCTGGTCTCATGACTGGTCACATCCAGTTACAGATCAACTAGGCTCCTGCCACCCTCAACTGATAAAGGGCAATCTCTCCCATAGATGGGTAAGCTGCAGCTGAGATTTAAAAGAAGGAAAGGTTACTATGCACAGTTCTGGGCTTATTTACAAAGGACCATTTCAATTAGCATGTTAAGGTGTGTTCTTATGCATGGCATTTTAATAAGATTTACTCTAAAAGGATCTGCAGTGCATATTTGAAAAGTAAATGTCCAGAAGTAAATTAATTCTTTTCATAAGTAATTCCAAACAAAGGGTGTTTATGCATGGCCTAAATAGTGTGAGAGAAGGTTAGATTGCAGATCTAAATCTTACTTAATTAGCAGTAAGCCCCACTGCATTCAATGTAGTGTTGAAGGTGTATTGATGCCTATGTATATGAAAATACGTCAAGTGTAAAAAGAATAGTGGCACTTACCTGCTGCTTTATTTTCATTTTATTTTGTCACCTGAAGGTTCCAGGTCTCAGATGGAAGCTTCCCTGAAGAACTGGGAAACCAGAGAATATTTTATTCCATGCTGCTGATTAAAGTACACAACATTGCTGCAGGAGGATGTCAACAGTAGGGCTTTGTAAAGCAGTGTACCTTAACGAGCAATGACTTCCTCTTTCTGTTCCATTGTTACTGCTGCAATTGCAGTCTTAGGCTCACTTAACTTTGGAGTGAGTGCTGTTGTACACTGTAGATATTATTTTTAAGCAAATGTGCCTAGTTCACAACAGAAGTTCCCCCTTGCCCTACCCTAGTTGTTCCACATGATAAAGTATATGGGACTGTAGTTGGTGCCTGTTTCACCTTTGTGGTTTGCTTGTTTGTTTACTGTGGGGGTTTTTTTTTTCATTCATTTTATGCACTTTGAACATTGTAGTTGCTGAGAGGAGCACCACCATGTGGAGGAGAATTTTTGTGGTGGAAATGTTAATTTTGAACATTCACTAGACTGCAGAGACAGATAAGATTAATTTATTTCACTGCAAATGAAAACGTCCCTTAAAGTGAAACTGTACAAAATAAAAGCAAATTGTTTTAGTGGCATCTCTTCTTCCATACCTTTTGTTTTATATTCAGTGACAGATAAAGGATTACAAATATGTATCATGGGGACTGCAGATTTCAGTACATGGCTGCCATATTCTGGTTCCTTAATATGTTGCTTATAGTAATAATGAGCCCATAACATGTTCCTGGGTGATTCTTTTAATTAAAAATGGAAATGGAAAGCCAACATACTACAGAGTAAAATAACTTTATATTTCAGTGATCTGTGGGACCCAGAGGCATACTCAGAAAATCAAATAGCCAGTGACTAGAGCCAATCACGATGTTTCTCTTTTGGCAAAGGGGTGCTTCATCATGGCTTGAATGACCATCATGATCATAAAACATTTTCTGGCAATGAACTTGGACATGCTCTTAAAATTCCAGGTCTGCTCATTGACTCAAAAGATCGGGGTCCTTTGTTCTTTAAATTATGCTGTAAAGGAAGAGTTGGGTAACCTGTTTTGGATTGTAGATGCTCCATTGTGGGTAGTGTGCAAAAACCTGAATTTAAGAAACCAATTGAGCCAAAGGAAAATGGGCAAAGCCAGAAGGAAAAAGATGGATAAGGGAACAGCAAACAAGGATATAAATATTTAATAAATAAAGTACTGTACATGAATAAAAGCAACGGCCATCCCAAGGGGTCCAGAAGATGAACATGATAATCCATCCATATACTTGCCAGCCTTGGACAGTATTTTTTCTTCAAACATAAGTTAACTTGAGTTTGTATTTTGTTTTGCTCAACTCAGTTTGTCCTCAAATGAGGCATTGGAACAGAATGTCAAGTTTAAATAGTTAAGAGTTCAATTGTAAGATACTTCTGAAGTTTAATTTTACTTGAATGCTTTACATAACTACGGTAGTAAACACCTGTCAGTGTATATATTTTTCATTTATCTTTTTTCAAACCCAGATTCAGATCTTAATTCTTTTATTTCTTTGAACTATACAATCTAACCTGTATGAGATTAGATCAAAATTAAATGTATATTGCCTTTTGCACAGTGTTATGTTCTCTGGATGACATTTCTCTTTATCTCTTACATACTTTTTCTTACACACATGTTTATTCTTGACATCGTAGGAGGAGAGGCAGGTTAGTACCGGTATATGGTAGCCGAAAAGCAGAAGTTTGGTAGCACTTCTTCAGCTGTCATTAAAAGGCATCAGATTTCCTGAATTACTGTCATTCCTGGTAGCCCTATATGTTGCATCACAATGTAATCCTGAGACTGCTATAGGATTGTTATTAATTAAACATATTTTCAAGAACCAAAGGACTGGCTTTTTTGGAGCCTGAATGTCTTCCTAACCCTGTATAGTGCAAATGGCCCGAAAATCCACTGCGTAAGAAGTATTGAATCATATATTGCTGGGCTATATTGACAACCTAGATTTAAGAGTTGCTGATAGTATTATTTTCATATTAAAATGCAAGGTTTATGCTCTCATTACATATGCCTTCTATTACTGTTTTAAGATTTCTGCTATGTAAACTAACTGGAGTAGACTTCACTTCAAAAGTTTGTCAATGGTTTAAATAAACATCATCAAGACTACATTTCTCTCTTTAAAAATGTACTGCTTCATCCAACATTTGCATCCTATCCCTAAAGTATCAACTGCCTGATAAGCAAGTATCAGAAAGCCTTCTAACATGCATGCTGCAGAGATTTTGTAGATGTGGCCAAGAATCTATAGGTATTTGAAATTCAAGCTATTTTTAACAGGAATGCTATCCATCTCTTTCTGCCTTTGGGTTTTATTCTGTAACTTGACTGCAGGGTGAGGGCTCAGTCCTACAAGGTTGGAGGTGGTAAACTAAAGTGTATTTCAGATATGCAGAGATCTATCTTCAGAATGAGTTAACTTTAGATTTTCTGTTACTGGTTCATGTTATAGCTTCAAAGACTATAAAACATAAAGCACTTCACATTATCAAAGAAGGAAAGGGCCAAAGTCTAACTACAATAGGTTAATTTGTCTCTTGCTTTCCTTTGGATTGCAAGTTAGTTATTGCTGTTTGAAAAAATTCAAATATCCAAGGAGAAAGTCTTGGTAATTACTATGACTCAAAAGGAGGAATGAATAAAAATTCAGTACCCAATGAACTGGTCAAACTTATCATTGTCCTCTTGGAAGAAGAAAAACAGCCAGTTTGCTTCTATTTTCCTTATACTTGTTTAGATAAGGCTTGATGAGCAAGGAACTTGTCTTAGATTCCCTTAAATTCAGTAGCACAACTTCTAATTTATTTAATATAAGTGGAAGCCCAACTTGTATTAATGAAATGATCGTATTGTGACTGTTTAGAGCAGGGGTCTCCAAGCTTGGCAACTTTAAGATTTGTGGACTTCCAGTTCCAGAATTCCTCAGCCAGCTTTGCTTTGCTGGCTGAGGAATTCTGGGAGTTGAAGTCCACAAGTCTTAAAGTTGCCAAGCTTGGAGACCCCTGGTTTAGAGAGAACAGGTCGTTCACTAGATATTTCTAACACAAGGATAGTGAGTATCTCGCCACAGGATGAATCCAGCACATATCACACAGGACGTGGGCTCATGAAAGATTTCCTATGTGTCATACCTTTCCATAACCCCTTATCTCAGAGTTGGGGAGGATTGTTTTAAAATTGGTTTGCATATTATACCAGAAACCCCATGCTCTGTGGGCTTTGACTTTCAGATTATTTCTGGCAGGTTATTTTTGAAAGCAGTTCAAAGGCTTCTGGAGAACTTTCTGATCTTCAGAGTCTTCATTATTTCTTTGACGTCGTTAATCTCTAGAGTGGATCTGTTTCTCTAAAGCAGCTCTGTTGCTGTTCTTGAAGTTAAAAAGACTGTCGGTTTCTGGAGCAGATCAAATTCCATCTATGCTTCAGAGAATCCATTGCTACTATTTGGTATTTCAGCTCTCTCTGTTAGCGTTTTGAACATTTTCTCCCTGCTATGTCCAAGCAAATAAACAGATTTGGATACAACACATGGGAAGGAAAGGGGACCATGAATGTTAGTTATTATTTCAATATATACTCTGTTTTAGGAGAAGGTTATCTTGCAAGTGGAAACCACTGTGACTTTGGATCTGCACAGTTGGACGTCTGCCTGCCAGACTGTTTTTGTGACCATTTTCCAGTTCAACTCAGGATCTTAAAAGATTTCATCCCTCCAGTCTCATTTATTAAATCCCTGAATCCTATTTAGATCACAAAAAGACTTTGATGTTCCTTGATTACTGAAATATTTTATCTAAATCTTTTTGGACAAAAAAAAGGGGGGAGGGACAGGCAAGCAGAGAAACATAATGTAGAATTTGACACAAAGATAGAACATCTTACCTGGAATTAGGATGGAACTGTGGGGTATGTAAAAATTACTGTTTGAAAATCAGGCAGGAATAACTTTTGGTGTGCCTGCTTTCTTGTTCTGTACATTTCTTACCAATATGGAAACTTTCTAATGCATTCTCATTCCTGGACAAGTAGTGAGTTATTAAAGGGCCAACAGTTTATTTCAGGTCAACAGTTATTGCAATAACTACGTTTAGCAGGAAAATGTAGTTATAGCAATAGCTCTTAGACCAGCGGTTCTCAACCTGGGGGTCGTGACCCCTTTGGGGGTCGAACGGCCATTTCACAGGGGTCGCCAAAGCCCTCTCTCGCCCCCCCCATGCCTTCACTCACCCTCATCCTCTGCCTCTGTTGGATCGCCGGTCATTGTTCCTTTACCCCGCCCACTCCCAATCTACTGCTGCCTCCTGAGTCCCAGCTGATGGCTAGAGGGAAACAAACCGTTTAAATTCTTGCCGCGGGGCTTCAAAGCCGCCCTACAGCTGATCAGTGTTAAAAGAAAACAAATGAGAAGACCAGTGCCTGCAAAAATAGAAAAAAACAGCCCCTTTCAGCTTCAGCATAGGTTAATTACCATAAGTTGATTTGATCAGCCTCCGGACTCTCATCTGATTTGCTCTCAGCTGTTTTGCGGAGGGCTCTGTTGCTAGCTGCAAGGAGAGGAGCAGATTTTTTTCCCCCTAGCTATGCTGAAAAAGCGAAACTGAAAGTAAAGCAGGGTCTTTGCTGCAACATGACAAAATGAGGCAGAGAGAGATTTCTTTTTCTTTTTCCTCACCAAAAAAGGTAGGTGCAAAACTGCAAACAATGGGAAATTTAGGGCAAAAGAGGAGGTTCAAGATTTTAAAACACAAAAGAAAAAAAGCTCTATTTAACTAGGGAATTGTAATAATTGAGATACTATTAATTGCATATTGTGTTGAAAGGAGAAATGGTTAAGTTGTGGCTTGGAGGAATATATGGGGGAAATTATTTGGTTTATTATTATTGGTAAATATAATTAATTGATTTGTAAGAAATTGGATTGCATGGAAATAATTGGAATATTCATGTTCATATTGATTGATATATAAAAAAGATAGTTATATAACTAATTGATTTATATTAAAATGTTGAATTTGTATTAAACAACTGTATTACATAATTACATAATTAACCAATGTAAGGATGGATATAAAAATAGATGACAATGGGAAGGGGTATAATATAGAATAGAAGGGAAAAATTGAATTTGATTAAGATTAGAGATGAGGATGAAGGGTAATATTGGTTTTTTAAAAAAATAGATGAGGAATAAATATGGCAAAAAGAAAATATAGAAATTGTAAATTTAATTGAAATGACTAAACACTGTTTAAATTTGTGAACCGGCCAAATACTCTGTTCAAAGAAAATACATTGTATGTTTGTATGTGTGATTCTAATTATTGCTATTTATTCATATTTGTTCTCTTTTATTCTTTAAAGTTTAACAATTCATTCTTTATCTTAATATCTTTATATTTGTTTGGGGTTGGTTTTCTTCCCTTTCATCTTTTTTATTGTACAGCAATCTTTCTCCTCAAACTTACCACCTCTCTCTTTTCTTTTCTTTCCTTTTTACTTTCTCTTCCCTCCCTCTTCTTCTCCTTTCTCCTTTCTCCTTCCTCTTCCTTTCTCCTCCTCCTCTCTTCCTCCCTCTCTTACCCTCACTCCTACTCTAATTTCCCTTCCCTTCCTTCATCCCTCTCTATTGCTGTATCCTTTTATGCATATGGACTACTCAGAGGGCTGAAAAAGTTATTTCTGACTGGTCCTCGCACTTTTGACCAGTCCTCGAATTTACGACTGTCCTCACATTTTACGTTTTTGCCCTATCTTGTCACCATGGTGAAGAGAAGCAGTTGTGAAATGAGTGACACGGTTGTTAAGAATGCTACAATGGGCATGATGACCAGTCATAAGTACGAAGACCGGTCAAAAGTGTGAGGACCTGTCAGAAATCACTTTTTTCAGCCCTCTGGGTAGAAATTTTGTGCACATGGAATGCTGCACGGGCATAAATGTGAGGATGGTCATAAGTGTGAGGACCAGTCAAAAGTGCGAGGATCTGTCAGAAATGACTTTTTTCAGCCCTCTGAGTAGTCCCTATACACATAGCCATGGCCACCCGGTCACATGACCAGCTAGCCATGCCCACCCAGTCACATGACCTCCAAGCCACGCCCACAAAATAAGCCACACCCACAGAACCGATAGTAAAAAAATTTAGAACCCACCCCTGGTTGGGGGTCACCACAACATGAGGAACTGTATTAATGGGTCGCAGCATTAGGAAGGTTGAGAACCACTGTCTTAGACTTATATACCACTCCTCAATGTTTTTAGCACTCTCTCAGCGGTTTACAGAGTCAGCATATTGCTTCCAACAATCAGGTCCTCATTTTAACAACCTTGGGAGGCTGAGTCAATCTTGAGTGGATCAGGATCAAACTGCTGGTTATGGGCAGAGTCAGCCTGCAATACTGCATTCTAATCATGTGCCACCATGGCACAATTATGCACAATTGCTTATACACAAGCGATTGCATGGATGGTAGTATCCGTTCTTACATCCCATTCCACTAAGGTTTTTTCAGGACAGGAATAATAAGACAAAAGTTTTAGTAATGGTTAAGAATGAAAATGGTAAATTTAATCTCAAAAGTTTCTTCCAAGGGCAAAGATTCATCAGGCATGTATTTGTACTTCCTTATTTTTCTTGGCTTTTGGTAAATGTACCTTTTGTATTTGAATCTTAAAAGAAAAGAAGGCTCATTTGTATTCAGCTATCTTGAGCAAGAAGACACCTGTTAATATAAGAGAAAGGGGGAAGAGTTAAATAAAAAAAATTATGGTTCTATTGAAAGAACGGATATCCCCAGGTAGTATCTAAAATGGTACAATCAATTTTGCTGTCGTAGCTCTCAGCTCCCTCCTCTCACTAGAATAGATGTGCCTATTTAGTATTGGGATATGAGCAAGGATGGGCAACTATGCTCCTTTATGACCTGTGGACTTCAACTCCCAGAATTCCTGAGCCACCAAGCTAAGGAATTCTGGGAGCTGAAGTACACAGGTTGTAAAGGGGCATAGTTGCTAACCCCTAGGTTGTGAGAATTCTGGGAGGGTTATCTAGGTAAAATGATATGCTAAAAGTCTTCACAGCCATTCATCAGAGACATGCAACTAATCCTTGGCTGAAGACTACCATGAACAAAGATTATTTGTGCTAGAGGCTGCACTTAAAAAGTGGTTAGGTCAGGATAAAGATATGAGGAGGGCCAAGATAGTACAGTGGTTAATGCACCCTGTTATTAACACAGCTGCCTGCAATTTCTGCAGGTTCGAATCTTACCAGGCTCAAGGTTGACTCAGCCTTCCATCCTTTCTAAGGTAGGTTAAATGAGGACCCAGTTTGTGGGGGCAATAAGCTGATTTTGTATAAATATACAAAAGTATGAAGACTATTGCTTAATGCACTGTAAGCCGCCCTGACTCTCCGGAGAAGGGCGGCATATAAATCAAATTAAAAAAAAAAAAAGATAAAAATTACATTTTCTGTAATTAAATTGTTTTGAAATGTAATAGTACTGTCCATATTAAAATATGTTCTCTTGGATTAAAAATTGCTATGCAGTATGGGATATGGTCATGATGGTGAACCTATGGTCCCACCAGAAGTTGGCAACTAGGCCGTTTCTGTCCTCTGGAGGGCCTTCGGGGAGGGGAGGCCATTTTTGCCCTCCCCAGACTCCTAGAAAGGCTCTGGAGCCAGGTGAGAGAGAAAAATGGGCCTACCGGGCCATCGTGAGCCAGGAGCGGGGGGTGGGGTTGCATGTACAGGGGCGGGGTACATAGAATTATGGGTGTGGGCATGTGCATGCGTGACCCACCCCACCCCCCACTCTCCTGGCACATGATGGCAAAAAGGTTAGCTATCACTGGGATATGGGATGCACATCGTTCAGTTTTGCCTCTGCTGAAAATGGATGTGACCTCATTTATAGCCTTCTTAACAACATTGTCTATATATCTCAAATAGCTTTAGCTGCAGCCAGTACAGCTTAATATCTGAACACTGGTATCCTAGGTGTTATATACGGTTGTGAATCACAGCAGAAGAAATTCCTACATACTGACACACTGACTCTCCTGTGTTGCTTTCTGTACAAGGGTTGTCAACCCATCGCAAGCATCAACCTGCCTATTCAAGCAGTGCCACTGGGCAAAGTTCTCAATTACTTTGGTGTGTCGAGCATTATTTCAAGGGTGTGACATAAAGGGAAGTGCCTTTTCCTGGAAGATGAATAAATGAATGGGTTTTCTTCATTCAGTTTACCCTAACAAACACTTAATTAAGGAAAGGTATCAACTCATATGGGGATAAGACTTGACCATCATTGTCCAGCTGAATCAACCAATGTTGATTCAGTTGATTAAGCACAGATTAATTGAAATCAAAGATTTAATCAGGCACATGTATATCGATTCGTTAAATTACATGTGGCTAATGTGGAGGCAGGCCATTTTTTTCATGGCCATGGGTTGCAGGTCTAATTTGGGGATAGGTTGATGGTGTAAAATGGGTACAATTGTATCTCCTATGTAGATGGGACTGTATCAAAAAAGTTGGGGGGATTTTTTAAAACCTTTTTTTAGCAATAACAATAGCACTTAAACTTATATACTGCTTCACAGTGCTTTACAGCCCTCTCTAAACAGTTTACAGAGTCAGCATATTGGCCCCCAACAATCTGGATTCTCATTTTACCGACCTCGGAAGGATGGAAGGCTGAGTCAACCTTGAACCTGGTGAGATTCGATCTGCCAAACTGCTGGCAGCCGGTGATCAGCAGAAGTAGCTTGCAGTACTGCACTCTAACCCAGAGGTGGGTTCTACTTACCTTTACTACCGGTTAGCATCGCGCCTGCACGCACTCTTCTGCACATGCGCAGATCACCTATGATGATCACCTATGATGACTGGTTCTTGCATACCGGTCTGAACTGGGGGCAACCCACCACTTCTCTAACCACTGCACCACCGTGGCTCTTTTTAGCCCTTATAGTACTAGTTTTCATGTGTTTTATGTCACTAAATGGTTTATATTAACCATAATCAAAGGGCCACAGCCCTGCAAAGAGAGAATTTGGGGAAAATTGTGGTCTAGGTGGAACATACTGTATGTCTTTTTCCATAAGTTGTGCATGCTTGAGTAAATGTGTAAATACATCTGCCACATGTAGGGGTGAGGAAGAGAGGAATTTAAGGCTATCTTTTGTTTACTTTAATATTTTACATGTGTTTGTTTCCATCCCACCTTTATTTTTAGAAATAACTCAAGGTGGAGAACATATTCAACGCACATTCCTCCTCCTCCTATTTCCCCCACAACATGAGACTTAAGTCTCATTAAACTGTCTTTTTGGATGGTCCAGATTTAAACATTTGGATGGTGAGTATCCCCCATTACATTATCAATCCTGTAATGGCTGTTAAGTTTCCATTGAGTTTGGTGGACTTTTGTTCCTATGAGATTTTTTTCCTGATTTCTGTAGACTGTCTTGATGCTAGTTGTGGAAAAATGGATATAAATATTTGTATTAATAATACAGAAATGATTATTTGTTCAGTTTTTTTACCACTGCAATCTTGTGACCCTTGGCATTTTACAAAATAAAAATATCAGCAGCAAAATAAGGTAAGCAAAGTAACATAAGTAAAGATATATAATTATTATTTTAAAATCAGAAGAGTATAAAAATAACAATTAAAATTTTTTATGGCGCTATCCTGACAATTTCAAGAAGCCCTCCAGAAGAGTTCCATTTTGACCAACTTCTAGAAAGTCAAGGATGCATAGAAAATTATAATTTAGGGAGGAGGACCAATTATAAATGGAGCCAGGGCAAAAGCTGGCAATTTAGTTGTGCACTCATATTATGTTGGCAAATATCCTTCTTTTAACACACACTAGACAAGTAGTCTCTTTCTATAGGCTGTAAATCTAGTATATCTCTTTGCTGCCCATCTAATTATTGTTAGGAATTTGGTAGCCCAAATATGGTAGCCCTTCCTTCTCATTCAAGGACACCTCCAAACATTGAGAGAAAGTTTGGCCTAGTGGTTAAAGCACCAAGCTAGAAAGCGGGAGCCTATGAGTTCTAGTCCTGCCTTAGCCATGAAAGCCAGCTGGGTGACCTTGGGCCAGTCACTCTCTGTCAGCCCAACCCCCCTCACAGGGTGGGAAATAGGAAATAGGAGGAGGAATGTGTGTTGAATATGTTCTCCACCTTGAGTTATTTCTAAAAATAAAGGTGGGATGTAAACAAACACATGCAGATATTTTTGCAGATAACACTGACTTAGGCATACTCATGATTTGCACAGAAGGGAGCACCTGAAGCTGACAGAGTTTTTTTAATTTGAAGTTATTGTAAGGAAGCACACACATCACAAAGACCTCAGGTAATGCCTAGCTATACTTTGTGAACAGCTGAGTAGTTTGGGCGGGCAGGAAGCGTTAAATGTCATCTTTCCTCCCTCCTCCTGCCCTGATTCTGCTGAAACTAATGTATTTCCACTGCTGAGCAGAAAAGAGAGGGCTTGGTCGTTCTCAAGACATTCTAGAGACCTGAAATGATGGTCCGCAACAGGGCCAGTTCAGTGACTCTCCTTCTTCCCCAACTTCATTGTCTCCCTAGCTGTGCTCCAGTCTCAGTGTTGTAAGGAGTATGAGGGAGTGAGGCAGGGTGAACAGCACATGAGCTGGCATTAGAAGTTCAGGACTGGTGGGAGTGCCTTTCAAAATTACTGAACAATGAACACATAACTGAGTCATCACTAGCCTGACAGGTTTCCCAAACCAAATAGGAGAAAATCGAAGAATAAAGTACAACGGTTTCCTGAATGTCCCGCTTTAAATTATTATTGAAAGGAGCAACTGATTAATCAAACTCAGGATTACCTACTCCCCCAATAGGATTCTTGTGTCTTGAAATCAGATCTTTAAAATATCCTGGCAAAGATCTTTGTTGTGTTGTGCTGCCTGAGATCCTTTAATAGGGAAACTTGAAGAGCCTGTGTTCTGGTACTGAATTAGCCACTCTCTAAAGCAGGGGTGTCAAACTTGATTTCATTGAGGGCCGCATCAGGGTTGTGTTTGACATTGGGGGGGGGATTTGTGTGGCCAGGGTGGGCTGGGCCAGCTTGACGTCCCTCATGTCAAGGGCGCTTGTGGTGGCCCAAGTGCCTCTGCCAGCGAAAACAGACTCCCAATCTCCGTTTTCAGCTGGAACAACCTCCTGCAATCCTCTGCCAGCAAAAACAGAGCTTGAGAAGACTGCATGCATGATTGGGAGCCCATTTTCGCTGGCAGAGGCACCGCAGGCTGGTCCTTCGCTGTTTCCAGGGCGGCCCCACCGGTCATATTTAAGCATCCTGCAGGCCGGATCCAGTCTTGAGGCCTGTGGGCCTTGAGTTTGACACCCCTGCTCTAAAGGTTATCCTATTCCTGCTTTTTTGTCAAAGTATGGATTGGCACATGATCTCTCCAGTACTCATAGATAACATCTGTGCAACCTGACTTTTATGGCTCCAAGGGTATGGTATTTGTGAAACCTAAATTAAATGGTTTTGACTTTGAACTAAATGAATGGTTGAGAGTCAGGGACTATCTGTATTATCATAACTCCAGACATCTTTGATAGGATACTTTACCTATGATCAAAGGAGATGTCCTATTGCCAACACAATATTTCTTATTCCATTGCAACTACTTGGGTGATTTTTATCCTAATGAAAGCATGGGAATATCCATTTGGATTGGGATGCTCACCCCTTCACCCTGATTATAAATCAGATTAGGTCTCATGTACCTTCATTTTGCATTGGAAAATAAAGTAGACTTTTCCCCTGTGTAAACTGCAGATCTGGCTCCTTATCCTAATAAGGAGCACTGAAAACAAAGGAGTTCTGATTGGATCCACCGGAAGGAAGACATAGCTGCACACTACTTAATGAAAATAATTATTATAGTACTTTCCTGCTGGGCTGATAATAAGATCAGGATTTTAATTTTTTAAAAAATCCCTATACTTCTCTCTGCATTACACTGCCTTAATTTGCACAAGAGTCTTTGCAAATTGTTTGGCAGATGTAAGGTACTTGGGACCTCTGAGAAATCAAATCCAGAGCTTGCTATTTTTCATTTACCCAAATAGTTTGGAATAGATTGTCAGGGGGACTGGGCAGAAGCAAATTAAAAGCATAAATTCTGACACATGCTGCCTGCAGTAGTAGTAGATGATATCTACGGAACCAAAAAACCTAAAGAAAAAAGAAAAGAAAAGAAATTGACAATGCTCCTGACTGCTGCTCCTTTTCTTTTTCTTAATTTGGAAAAGTGGATCCCAAGACTGGGTCTGAAGTAATCAATCACAGCAAGTATAAAAAGACCAACAGGAGAAACTGCTTGACTTTGGGTTTTCAGTTCTTGATTTTGGGCTACCAACATTGGAAGACCCATTTGCCTGCTCCATGAAAGTCATGGCTCCTGATCCATCATTAAACTAATTAGCACTGTCTCAATCAAGCCAAGTATGTGATAAGTGTAAGACAGCTTTTCTAGATCTAACTGCAGCTCCCAAAATTCTCAGTAGTTTGGCACTCGCCACACTCGCCAAGTTGCCAGGATTAGTGAGAGCAGCAGTATAAACATATCTGGTTCCCAGATTGGGGAAGCTGGATCCTATGAAATCTTTTCATGTATTCCCACATTCCCACCAGGTTTCTGCATTATTATTATTTTTAAGTTGGGGCTGTTCTGCAGGGAAGCAACAACTACTGTTCTTCTTTAATGTAAGAATTGGAACTGGATGTTTTCCTGGAATTCACTCCCAAAAAAGCTTCCCTGAATTCCAGATCACTTGGAAAGAAGAGAAGAACCTCAAATGCTATTACTAATGTTGGCAGTCCTGAGGGTTTTCAACGTGCAAGTTTCCTCGAGGTGTGCGTGTGGAAATTAAAATCTATCACTGTCATCTATTTACTTATTTATTTATTATTGAATTTCTATACCGCCCTTCTCCCTGAGGACTCAGGGCGGTGTACAGCCAAAATTAAAAAACATGCAGGACAAATATTAAAAAACAATTAAAAGATATATAAATTTGGCCCAATTAAAACTCATTACCAATTAAAACGTTTAAAACATTTAAAAACAATTAAAAATTTCATCTTAAGCCAGCCCGGCTTGCTTGAAAAAATGGGTTTTAAGGGCACGACGGAAGGCACTGAGGTCCTGGATTCTCCTTATCTCTGGGGGGAGCTGATTCCAGAGGGTAGGTGCCCCCACAGAGAAGGCCCTCCCCCTGGGGGTCACCAGCCTACACTGTCTGGCTGATGGCACCCTGAGGAGGCCCTCTGTGGGAGCGCACGGGTCGATGGGAGGTTGTCGGTAGCAGCAGGCGGTCTCGAAGATAGCTAGGCCCTATGCCATGGAGCGCTTTGAAGGTGATAACCAGTGCAGCTCGCGCAGGAGCGGTGTTACATGGGAGCGCCATGCTGTTCCCGTCACTACCCGCGCTGCTGCGTTCTGGACCAGCTGGAGCCTCCGGGTGCTCCTCAAGGGGAGCCCCATGTAGAGAGCGTTGCAGTAGTCAAGGCGAGAGGTGACGAGGGTGTGAGTGACTGCACAGGGAATCCCGATCAAGAAAGGGCCGCAACTGGCGGATCAGGCGAACCTGACAAAAGGTCCCCCTGGTTACAGCCGTCAGATGTTCCTCCAAGGACAGCTGCCTATCCAGGAGGACTCCCAGATTGCGAGCCCTCTCTGTGGGGGCCAATGACTCGCCCCCAATAGTCAGTGATGGAGTCAACTGACTATATCGGGATGCCGGGAGCCACAGCCACTCAGTCTTGGAAGCGTTGACTTGAGCCTGTTCCTCCCCATCCAGACCCGCACAGCCTCCAGGCACTGGGACATCACTTCAAGGGCATCATTGGGGTGGCCTGGGGTGGAGATGTACAGCTGGGTGTCATCAGCGTACTGGTGGTATCTCACCCCAAAGCCACGGATGATCTCACCCAGCGGCTTCACATAAATGTTGAACAGAAGGGGCGAGAGGACCGATCCCTGCGGCACTCCACAAATGAGAGGCCTCGAGGTCGACCTCTGCCCCCCTGCCAACACAAACTGCGACTGGTCGGAGAGAAAGGAGGAGAACCACCGTAACACGGTGCCTCCCACCCCCAACTCTTCCAGCCGGTGCAGCATGATACCATGGTCGATGGTATCAAAAGCCGCTGAGAGGTCTAACAGGACCAGAACAGAGGAGCAACCCCTGTCCCGAGCCCTCCAGAGATCATCAACCAACGCGACCAATGCCGTTTCTGTGCTGTGCCCAGACCTGAAACCCGACTGGAATGGATCTAGATAAGATGTTTCCTCCAGGAATTGCGGAAACTGTCGTGCGACCACACTCTCAACAACCTTCGCCATAAAGCGAAGGTTGGAGACAGGACGATAGTTGGCCAATATTGCCGGATCCAGGGACGGCTTCTTGAGGAGAGGCCTCACCACCGCCTCTTTCAAGGCGGTGGGGAAGTAACCCTCACTCAACGAAGCGTTAATAACACCCTGGAGCCAGCCTCGTGTAACCTCCCGGGAAGCCAGTACCAACCAGGAGGGACACGGGTCCAGTAAACATGTGGCCACACTAAGTCTCCCCAAAATCCTGTCCACATCATCGGGAGTCACAGCATCAAACTCCTCCCAGATAACATTCTCAAGACTATTCCTCGTCACCCTGCCCTGATCTACCCAGTCAGAGTCCAAATCCCCCCGGATCTGAGCGATTTTGTCATACAGGTATTGTCCGAAATCCTCCACCCTGCCTTCCAAGGGATCCTCCCGCACTCCCGGATGGAGCAGGGAGCGGGTTACCCTGAACAGGGCAGCCGGACGATTCCCTGATGATGCAATAGAGGCGGAAAAGTAATTAAGCTTTGCCATCTTTATCGCCACTAGGTAGGCCTTAATATGCGACCTTACCCGTATTCGATCAGATTCAGCGAGACTGGCCCTCCAACCGCTCTCCAGGCATCTTTTCCGGCGCTTCATTTCCCTCAGCTCCTCAGTGAACCAAGGAGCCACGCGGGATCGGCACCGGGTCAGAGGCCGCAAAGGCACGACTCGGTCCAAGGCCCCACCAGCCGCCCGGTCCCAGGCGACTACCAGCTCCTCAGCCGAGTCATGTGCTAGAACCTCAGGAAATGGCCCAAGCTCCGTCTGGAACCTCTCAGGATCCATCAGGCGCCTGGGGCGGATCCATCTAATTGGATCTGCCTCCCTGCGGCGGGGGGCAGCGGTTCGAAAATCCAGGCAAAGGAGTGAGTGGTCTGTCCATGACAAAGTTTCCACGTCTATATCCCCAATAACAAGACCACTCAACCACTGGCCAGAGACAAAAATCAGATCCAGAGTGTGACCTCCCCTGTGAGTAGGGCCATGAACTAACTGGGTCAGGTCCATGGCCGTCATGGAAGCCATGAACTCCCGAGCCACCAACGGATGGCAAGTTGAAGTCATCCATGACTAAGAGCCTGGGTGTATCTACTGCCACCGTGGCTATCACGTCGAGTAGCTCAGGTAGGGCTGTTGCCACGCGGCAGGGAGCCAGGTACGTAAGCAACAAGCCCATCTGAACCCCACGACCCCACCTCACAAGGAGGGACTCACATCCGGCTATTTGAGGCACAGTGGTCTCCCTAGGACCGAGATCCTCGTTAATAATAACTGCCATCCCCCCGCCCCTCCCCTGGGCCCTCGGCTGATGGAATGCTCTGAAGCCTGGTGGGCACATTTCAACCAGAGGGACACCGCCCTCCGGGCCCAACCAGGTCTCCGTAATACCCGCCAGGTCCGCTCCTCCCTCTTGTATAAGATCGTGAATGAGGGGGGCCTTATTTACCACGGACCTAGCGTTGCATAACATCAGCCGAAGGCCCAGATCCTGAGTGTCTAAGCCACCTAGTCTCCGAGAGGAGCCATGGGGACCGGGGCAAGCAATTGCTCTCAAACAGCGAGTGCGAGCCCCCAACACATGATATGGTCCCCTGCTCCCGCCATATCTGCCCCTCCCATCTACCGTGCTGATGGTACAGACCTCGTAGGTATCGTCCCCCATCCCGTTCCCAGTCCCTCGACCAGCACCTCCCAAGTCATTACCCTGTGCCGGGCTCGGCTCTGACCCTGGTGGATTTCCCCCCCACATCCCCCAGAGTCTTCTTCCCAATTTCTCTAGAAAGATCATTACAAACGCCCCTCCCAGAACCCCTTAAAATCTTTAAAAATTTCCCTAAAAAACCCCACAAATTCTTCCGTGTTCCATGCCATCTCTCTGGACTCCAAAGTCCGTCATCGAGATAGGCCCTCGATAATGTGGAGGGCCAAACCTGCGAGAGGGGAGAATCTCGTAGGGAGAGGAGTTCCGACACCGAATACATATAATCATCAGGGGAGCCAAAGTCCAAGGGTAGGGGGTACCACCGATGTTACAAACACAGGGAAAATTCCAGTCCATGGTCAGGCCACCAAGCTCCATTGTCCTCTCACGACAATGGCAAAGGAGGTGTATATCATTCGACCCCGGAAGTTTCCAGGGCAGCCATGCTCTCACCTAGGCCACCCATGGAAACTCTGATGGAAATCCGGGCGTGAAGGTAGCCATAATCCGCCTCCAACTGGCCTTACGTCCATAGAACCAGTATCTAGGGAAACTCGCATTCACAGGGTTAATGGCGTGAATGTTAGTTTCATCTCATTCCAGTGCTTGTTAGAACACTGTGCTGAATAGGCATAGGAGGTTGGTTGATTTTATTAATTACATTTTTCTTGTATGTTTCCCAGCAGTGATGCTGATGGCAGGCTGCCCAAGTTGTTCAAAAGCACATCAACCCAAAAGAAAAAAAAAAGGCAGGCCTTCCTGTTGCAACTTGCTCATCTTCCGTGCAAAAAAAAAGAAGAGAGAGATTGCATTGTGACTTAAGTCATCTCATTTCTTCTCTTTCACTCGAATCTCATGGCTAGATCAGAACTTCTGTTATTCTTACTCAGGATTGTTCAGTTTAAAAAAAAGGGGGGGGGAGCTGAACCAACATTTGCAATGAATCTGCTCTTGGGATGTTTTGACCAAGTGGCATCCTGTAGCTCGAAGTATTTGTGAAAGAGATTCCGTGGGGTGTATATTTACATCGTTTTTGAGTTTTGATCATTGTATTCATAAATACCAGGGCTTTCCTCATGAATTTGACAACTAAAATGGAAAGCTGTGGGTGTTTTGTGAGTTTTGAAGGATTTAAAATCACTGCTCTGACTTGATAGAATGTACATCGTTCCCCCAAATTTTGTCTACACTGTTGGGGTTGTTTTAAACACAAGATTCTTGTCTCTAGAATGTCCATTTTGTTCTGGGAGATTGATGAAGCAGATTAAGCAAGAGCTCAGAATCATCCAGGACGAGAATGTCATCAGTCACAGTTGTTGACTTCTAACCTAACACATCCCTTTGGAATAACCTTTGCTCTTATATAAAGCCTAGGAACTTCAGAACCTTTAAATGCCTCACTGTTAGTTGAATCAATACTCTAACCAAAGTCTATCCTCATTTAGACAATCTAGAATCCTAATGGGGATAAAGAGCCATTAAGGGTTATTTTACACATAATGCCTCTTTTGTAACTGCTGAAGGATCAGCTAGTTTACAATTCAGCGTCAATACAAGAGACACTTTTTTCCCCAAGAATAACATTTGTTATTTTAAAGACTCTTGAAAACACATTCTATTTATATTTGGTTATCCCTTGCTTATAGGCAATTGCTGTACTTTGCTTTTGCTGCATCTCTGTACGTTTTTTTACCATTAGTCTGCTCAAGGCTTTGGAGAAAACTGCTTTGCTCTTAAAGCTGCATTAGCACATGCAAAGGTTAATGAGATGTGAAAAAGCTTTGCTGTATTGAGGTTACAAAAGTCCAAATGACCACTAGATGTCAGAAAACATTAGCTCTTTGCTGCCATCTAATGGCAGTCCAGATACAAGAGCTCTCTCTAACTTCTACTTTCCAATTGCATATATTCCCCCCTTTTTTATGACACAGTAATCCCTTAATTTGGGGTAAAGTTGGGGTATTGGATGGAGCTGAGCATTTACTGGCCGGATGCCTTTTCTTATGCCACACAGAGTTTGCAAACTTTCCAATTGCATATGGCAGTGGAACTGAGACTTAAGAGTATTCTGATCCATTTTTTATAATCTCTCTACTCTGAAGATAAATATCTACCTGCTTCTCTTTCTATCTCAATTTGCTGTGACTGCTCTGTTCTGCCTCTTTTGGTGCCTAAATCTATTCTTAACACTCTACCTTTGCTTAGAGTTATCTATATATCTTTATACATTTATTCAGCCACAGTAACGTCTTCACTACTGCCACGATTTGTCACTCATGCCTAGTACTATGTCTAGATAGTACTACCTAGCTGTCCAAATTTAACTGGATGAATCTAGCCAACCTTACAATAATTGAAATTTGGATAATATTGTACATCTTGTAATAATAGTGATGTACAACCTGATCTTTGGTCCATGGTTAATATCCCCCTAATTATGTAAAGTGCAACTACATCTAATACATTTCAGCTCTGTTCCCAGATAAAAATTTCAGGTATATTAACAGTGAGTGTACAAATCATGAAAGCAATAATCTACTCTTTACTGAGGGCAATAAGCAATGCATGATTCCCACATGGTCCTCAGCCTTCTGTTGGATGGTTTTGTCTATTCCCTGGCACCTCCCATGCTTTCTTTTATCACCCAACACACAAGGTTGGAGGCCCAGCCATGGAAGGTGAAGGCTACAGCATCTTCTAAAAGTTCAACTACTGCAACTGTTACCATACTTCATGTTCTTTAGAAAAAAGGTCTCAGAGCCAACTTTGTGGTGAGCACCTGTTTCCTCCCCATTTTTCTCTTGCATTGTGGGAGGGGTCTATCCCTGAAGATCTACATGGTCTACTCAATTGCAAATGGGAGAAGATGGGAGAATGGGAAGGAAAATGTAAATGGGTAGGCTATCAGAGGATGGCACATATGGGTGATTAGTGTTGGACTGAAAAAAAATCTTCGTTACCTAGAATTACCAGTTGCCTCTTGAAAAAGCACCTTTGGGATGACCATGACCTGGATGACTGAGAATCTCCATAGACATTCATCCTGGAAGCTTTCCACTGTGAAGGCTAAGGTGGAGCTCTTGGTTCAAGGTTCACCTTTTGCTGTTTTTAAGTTACAAGCTAAATTAAAGCCAGAGACAAGTCTGCGAAGGGGAGTTTTCCGCAGCAAAGAACTCTCTTAAGCAAAGGTACTGAGGAGTTTTGGGCTTGTTGCTGGAAGCTGCCACCAAATTGCCTGTGGTGGGAGGGGTTACTGACAGGGTGGGTTCCCACATCAAGTATACAGATTTTTTTGGGGGGGGGAGAATTATTCCCAATGGAACAAAAATGACACAAATCTACTTCAGAAGGGAATCATTTGCAACCTGGAATTTATTTCTGTCTTATAAGAAGCAACTAAAACAGTGGTCCTTCATTGAAGTTTTTAGCTGATGGTTCTAAATCCTGGCCATTGGTGTCAGGTAAACTTTTTGTATTTTCAGTATGCAGAAATTTTCTTTTAATGTTTAATCAGCTTTTCTTTTTTTTAAAAGAACATCTTGTAAATGCAGTACAGATAGCACCCTTTGTAAATTAATAGAGTCTGCCAAGTGTTCCAGAGTGCCTGCAGCAGAACCAAAGGAATAAAATAAAACATTTTCAAATACGTGTAGTCCTCAACGTACTGCCACAATTGAGCCCCAAATTTCTGTTGCTAAGTGAGACAGTTTATTTATTTATTTATTTATTTATTTATTTATTATTTATTTATTTATTCATTCATTCATTCATTCATTCATTCATTCATTCATTCATTCATTTATTTATTTAGTCACATTTCTATGCCGCCCAACTCCCAAGGGACTCTGGGCGGCTTACAACAAAGAATAAAACAATGCAAACAATCCCATAAAAAATGTTAAAAAGAAAAACATTAAAACATTAAAAATGTTAAAACACATGCACTCCAATTCATGGCTGGGTCTCGCAAGATCATTATAACGAGATCAACGGCCCCAGGCCTGCCAGAAGAGCCAGGTCTTCACCGCTTTGCGGAAGGCCAATAGGGTGGGGACGGTCCGGACCTCAGGAGGTAATTGGTTCCAGAGAGCCGGGGCAGCCACAGAGAAAGCCCTCCCCTGCGGGCCCGCCAGTCGACATTGTTTAGCTGACGGGACCCGGAGGAGACCAACACTGTGGGATCTTACCGGTCGCTGGGAGCTATGTGGTAGAAGTTAAGTGAATTTTGCCCCATTTTACAACATTTCATGCCACAGTTATTAAGTGAATCACCACATTTTTGTTAAATTAGTAACAAGGTTGTGAAGTGAATCTGGCTTTCCCATTGACTTTGCTTGTCAGTAGATCACAAAAGGGGATCACATGACCTCAGGACAATGCAACCGTTATAAATTTGAACCAGTTGCAAACCATCTGAATTTTGATCATGTGATCGTGGGGATGCTGCAACGGTCATCAGTGTGAAAACGGTCATAAGTCACTTTCAAGGCCCTTGCAACTTCGAATGGTCACTAAACAATGGTTGCAAGTTGAGTACTATCTGTAGGCTGAAAAATGTATCTGTGGTAAGGTATTTAACAATGGAAAACTAAGAGTAGCTTGGAGTGGTACTTAAAAACAATTGAGCTGTCAAGCCATGTAATTACTCCCCCCAAACTATAACAGTTTAATTACATATCAGTGCTCCAGTTAAAGAAAAAGAGGTGGAGGGGGAAATTAAAATGGACAGTTTTAACAGTTCCCCAGTTTCAACCAAACTATGATACACTATGGGGTTTTTAAATAGCTAAGCAGGTTCTCAGAAAACATAGGAACTTGCTTCCTTCCCCCCTACAAGCAATAGGAGCAGAGTCATTGTTTTTGCTCTTGATTTTTCTAAAAGCTGCTCTAAAAATCGGGAAGCTGATCTAATAGGGGAAAAGGACAATACACACCCCATGAAGGAGGACCCGTAAAGCTTTGTAAAACCCGTAGAGAAGAGAGGGTGAACATTCACCCTAAAGCCACCACATCAAAACATCCCATCTCTCCGAAGCATCATGTGCAATAATTTAAGAGAGAATTCACATGGTGCAGTGCACCTCTCTGCATCTGCAGGGCTGCAGCTGTTGTTTTCAGATGGAATCGTTCCTACACTCACTTGGAAACAATTTGCGCTGGGACTTTTTTGCAGGGGGTGGGTGGGTGGGGAGGGAGGGAACAAATACTACCCAGCATCTGGTAGTTAGTCATGACTGACTTTGCTGAAGCGTGAAGCTATTTCTACAGCAAACTGGAATTTGCAGATTGGACAGGGTGAGACTTCAGCTCAGTCAAGACTCGGGAGCGGCTTGCATTTGCTACAAAAAGCGATTGTCCTCTTTGGAGTACATACTCTGATGGTCTAGCTTTACCATCTAGTTCAATTTTTATTGGCTAATTTATCCTCTTGACTGGATCGCTGTCTTTTTGGGGAGCGGGGACGGAGGTTATGTGTTTTACAGATTAATATAACACATCGGTCTCCTGTGTTGCTGGTAACTTTGTGGAGTAACTTTCCCTTTGTCCTACCCCAACTACCTACTTTTTTTTTTAATTGTCAGTGTTCCACCATCACCAAATGATATGGTTTTGGCCCAAGAAATCCAATGGTATGGGAAATGAAATGGTATGAGAAATGGCTGTATTTTAAGGCTCTAGGAGGCTTTTTGTTTGGCTCACCAGTGGTTCACCAGTTTTGCTGGATTATCACTACAGTCGTTTGTGCAAGTCTGTGAATGTATCATGAATCACGATTAATTTGAGATTAATTTGTGGAAAGACTTCACCACCGAGATTAAAGCCAGGCACCACTTAGATGAACAATTCCAAATGGAAAACACCACAGCATTTCATCAGCCATCTACTCTATGCTATGCACATTTCTGGTTTCATAAAAAAGAGGAGAAACTGCTGAATCCCCCCATATGCATCAGAGGTGCACTTCTGTTTCTCTTAGGCAGTTATAAAGTGATTTGTAGCATAAATGACTTAAAAGGATTAAAATTCTTATAAACAAACAAACAAACCAAATTATGAAATGTTTAAAAAAAAACTTGCCAAATCTCCATTCCTTCAGTTTATTTTATTTTGGGCTGAACGGTTACAATTAGCTAAGGAGCTCTGGGCAAGCATGACATCCTTGTCTGGGCCTTCACTCATCAAGTCCCTTTCTCAGCTCTGCTTTAGTTCTGTTTTACCCAGGGTAACATGATAGTGGGCAGCTGCTTTTCTGAATCATTCACACTGACAACCTTCTTTTACTTTTTCAGCAGAACATTCCAAACCTAAAGCCAGCCCTTTGTCCAGATTCCCCCAAACCAAGCACATATTTCCAAATAAAGTACGGTAACCCTTCCATTCTAAACTGCGTATGTGCTGTTACATCAGCCATGGACCATATGTAGTTGATGTACAGAATATCTTATCTCCAGCCTGGGATATCTACTTTTCCACCTCCCTGCTGCCTATCTTTTTTCCTCCAGAGCTCCAACCCGTTTTCCCATAACTAATAAATAAGTCAGCAAAACCTCCTAAAAAGCATGCTCTGAGCAATTGGAGAAGTTGCTGTGAACCTGCTGCACAGATAGATGCTTCTAGATGGGGCTCAGCAACCCAACCCGGTTTTTGCTGAGCTTATCAAGTGAAGCAGAAAACAGCATGAATTTAAATGTGCAGAATGAATAGGGACAAGATTGATTGATTTGAGAGAATGAAAAAGAAAACAGCCCAATCCTTGGAGATGGACTTCCAACAATAATCTGTTCCCAATAAGCTCTTTAATCGATTTTAATAGAGAAACAATGAGAAACATGGCTTAATTATAAGAAGGATGAGAATCATCCAACACAACCATTAAAAGTCGTATTCTTCCATAAGAGTCTGGACACATACTAGGGAGAACATAATTGGAATCATCACGTTTTATCTGTCCTGTTTTAACCTGCCATAATCCTCCTAGA